GGAAGTTCTCTTATTTTAGCAGAAGTCTTGACACTATTAAAAAACTGAACCCTCACAGAACGAAACTGTTCAGTATGTCATAGTCCCTTGAAGAAGTGGCAGTACTTGCCAATTTTAAGAAGCCAACAACTTGACCACCGGCTTAGGCTTGCACACAGCACAAATGGCTCTTATTCTTTGCATTGGAATATCCTATGCAAGAAAGCCGTCAAGGTGGCACACAAGCTAGACTTGGTTACTGCGGACTAAAAAGAAAGGGATGACACCTCTTCAGAACCCTTACCACCCTCCCTTAACATGCCCACATCAGCTGAACTCGAGAGAGAATGGCACGGAGACAGAATCAAAGCATTCTAAGCTATCCAGCTCATCTGTCCATCACTCCTTTATTCTCACCCCATGGAAAGGTGCACTAAGATTCTGCATTCACCAGCAACATAAGATATGCTTTTTTTTTCTTTTTTTCTTTTTCTTGCTATGCAGTTCAGGCTGGCCTTGAGCTCACTTTGTAGCCCAGGCTGGTCTCGAACTCACAACGATCCTTCTGCCTCAGCTTCCAGAGTGCTGGGATTACAGGCGTGCGCCACCACACCCGGCTAAGATATGCAATTATAATGAGTTATTAAGTATATCTATTGAGAAAAAGGCTGAAATAAATTTCCGTCTTTCTAATATTAACTAGACATCTCATCAATTCTGCAATTTTATTTCTCATTTGTGTGTGTGTGAGAGAGAGAGAGAAAGAGAGAGAGGGATTTCCCCCTTAGGTTTTAGTCTACGCTTCCAAATTAAAAGAACAGCTCTTACCCGGGGAACCCGAGCTTGTCGGGGAGCTCTCTAGGTTCAGAATATCTTCAATAACAGGCTCCTTATTATTTTTGTCTTTCTTCTTTTTCTTCTTAAAACAGTCACCAGAAGGCTTTAACAAGGAAAGTTCTTCCGATCTTCTAATATCTAACAATAAAGCACCAAATGGGAGTAAGAAAGGAAAACTGTAGAGGAAAAAGAAAATTCCTTCGGAGAGAGGCATTTCGTGCGTTTGATGGGAAGGAAGCCTCGGGAAGTTCCTGGGAGGTAAAACTACACCGCGTCCCTTTTGAAGAGACAGAAGCAGATGCGGGGGATAGAGGGAGGGAGGTTCAGTCTAGCACAACTGCTAGCCCCCTCTCCGTCCCTTCTTTCTCCCTCTTTCCTTTCTCCATTTCTTAAAACCAGCCTCCCTCTCCCTGTGGACACGGGGCTGACAGCAGCTCTCCCACACCTCACCCCGCTCTCTTCGGGGTGACGTCCTCACGCCTGCCCTTCGCGGCCCTCCCCATCTCCGCGTGTGACTTCCGGGAGCCTCCAGGACCTGAGTCTCTCCGCCTGCGGGCTCCCTCTGGTGGCTGAGCCGGGCCTCGCGCAGCCCGGAGGCTGGATCTACGTTCTCTCTTAGAGGTCTCCACTTGCTCATGGTGTCACCTGGTTGGTGATACTTTTTTTTTGGTACTGGAAACCGAACTCAGGACCTCGCGCTTGCCAGGCAGGTGCTCGTGCCGCTGTACTCCCAGCCCTAGTGATACTCTTTAACGGTGGCCCGATGTTCCCAGTTTCACCTTCCAACAACCTTCACGCCGAGTCTCCGTGATCAGAAAGTGACTAAGGCAACTGCTAAGTGTGCTTTAACTCAACTGATCCGATGTAAAAACCCCTGTTAGAAATTCCAAGTGGAGCCGGGTGTGGTGGCGCATGCCTGCGACCCCAGCACTTGGGAGGCTGAGGCAGGAGGATCATTGTGAGTTTGACAGCAGCCTGGGCTACAAAATGAGCTCAATTCCAGCCTGAACTGCATAGTGAGACCCTGTCTCAAAAAGACAAAAAAAAAAAAAAAAAAGAAATTCCAAGTGGAGCCAGGTATGGTGGCGCATGCCTGCAAGCCCAGAATTTGGGAGGTTGAGGTAGGAGAATCACCATGAGTTTGAAGCCAGCCTGAATAATAAAGCAAGACCCTGTCTCAGGATTAAAAAAAAAAAAAAAAAGCCAGGTGGAGCCATTAGACTGCCATAAAGAACAAGCAGGGAGAGGACATCTGACGCTGCTGTTTATTTAGAAACCTCAAGTTCTTGGCCTCCGCAGGCAGAGACAGACAATAACCAGTACGCGTAATGAGTAAGAAGAGAATACAGGATTTAGAAAGAGAAAAGACAGACAGCATCAGCAGTGAGGGTCGGGACGGTATGAAATAGGGCCGGGGCAGACAGCACTTCCGGGAGGGCTGCGTCCCTCTGTCCTAGCAAGTGCCTGGCACACACGAGCTGTCTGATGACCACAGTGACCACTGACCAGACCCTTCCTTCCATTACAGAGCATCACCGCCCCTTGGTCCTGGACACACACGATCATGCTTTGTTTTCCATTATCGTCTAATGAGAACTTGAAAACAAAATAAGTGATTAAATCAGACAGTGCTTCCCACACGTGACAGCAAATTGGAAGTGCCTGCTAGAATGTAAGCTCCAAGGGAGGGAAGCCTAGTGATCTTAGTCACTAATGTCTCCCCAGCACTTGGCACATTACGTGCCACTTAGTAGGTGCTCAGTAAATACTTGTAAATGAGTGAATGAAGTGGTTTATAATTTAACACATGAGATAAGATTACTCACTATAGATACAGTATCTATTCTGTGTTCAGATGCTCACTTTGGGCCTTGGTATCTTCCAAAAAATATAAAATATTAACTTTCAGTCCAGTCCAGTGGCATACACTTGTAATTCCAGCTACTTGGATGGCTGAGGCAGGAGGACCTCAAGTTGGAGACCAACCAGGGAAAGCTAGCAAAACCCCATCTCAAAATAAAAATTTAAAAAGGCAGTGGGTGTAGCTCGAAGGCAGAGCACCCTGGCTTCAATCCCAGTTCCACAAAATGAAATAAAACATCAAGACCGTCACTGCACTGGGTTCCCTCCCTTTACGGAATATCATAAAGAAGAAAGGGTCAGGGTTGTCTCTCTGTTCTACTTTGGGACACCAATCCGTAAAGAATTTGGCTTCTACCCATGAGATGAAGGATTTAATAGAGCGGTCCCCCCCACACACCTTAACAGCAATGATTTGCATATAGCTTGAGGACATGAATTTTGGGGCAACCCTAAAGGTTTGCCTTTCTGTTTACAAATGTCTTTTGAAACTGCTCCTAGCTGGGTGAGAGGGTGGCAATGGTTTAACCCAAGCAGGGCTGCGGGGCCCGGGCTGGACTTGCAGGTCCTGGCGAGGGGAGCGAAGCAGCGTCCCTCTGTGGTTCTGTGTAGGTCTAAAGGCAATACTCACTCAGGGCCCTGCAGATGTCGCCCACAGCTCGGAACACCACGGCCGAGAAGCTGACGCGCAGCCGCACGGTCTTCAGGTTGGGCAGGCGAAGGCGTAGCATCTTGTGCTGCGGGGTGAAGAGGAGCCTGGCGTCGGCTTGCACCCCATACTTGTCCAGGGTCCAGTGGGTTTTCAGGAGCCAGCAACGCTTCTGCTCCCACCACAGAGCGAAATCAGACCAGTCCTGGGCCACGTCTGCAAATATTGGAAACACAGCTGGGTGAAACGAGAACTGAGCGAGTGAAGGCTGCGGGTGCCCGAGTCCACTGCTATGTGCGAGGCCGGAAACCAGTCCCTGAGCTTTAGCCCGGCACCGCTTTACAGTCCAGAGCACAGGAGTCCTTGGCTTCTCTCCAGTCTCCCAGGTGGGGCAGGGAGAAAACCTTGGAACTCCACCTCCGTCTCCACCTCCATTTAAATGTGTGGAAGGAAAAAGCCTGAACTTGCTGCTCAGGACAAATGCTGAAGCTCTTTGTCCAGAAACCACTGTGTCATGGGTGTGCAGTCTCATCCCTCTTACAGGAATGTACTCTGTCATCTCTGGATCACTAGGGAGTGCTCGCAGCCCTGGGAAGGGCCTGAGCTAAGGGAAGCTGGCCTTTCACTTCACAGCCACCCACTTCCAGCAGCACCATCACATCCCCAGGTTCTGAAGCAGTCAGAAGGGGTTGTTACAGCTTGTGTCCAGATGTCCCCAAAGCCTCAGGCGCTCATAGGCGGGGCTTTGCCTTGCTGGCTGGATATACATGTGCGATGCTGGGATGAAGGATGAGGTGCTAAGTTAGCCAGCTGACTAGAATTAGCATAGTTCGGGGTGGTAGCTTGGATGGGAGAAAAGGGAAAGGCAGGCTGGTGGCTGCTGCATGCTGCCTCCCTGTCTCCTGCCTGCTCTGCCATGAACTCTTTCTCCTCTGTGCTGCCCTCTACCTCGGAGACACTCAACTGTGGACTGAGACTTCTACAAACTGTGAGCTGAAATAAACCTTTCCTCCTTTAACTTTGAGTGTCAAGTATTTCAGCCAACCAAAGAGAAAAGTAACTAAGACACAGGTACCGTGGTGCTTGCTTATAATCCCAGCACTCAGGAAGCTGAGGCAGGAGTGTTACTGTGAATTGAAGTCTAGCCTGGGTTACATAGTGAGTTCAAGACCAGCCTGAACTACATAGCAAGACCTTGCCTCAAAAAACAAAACAAGGTAAACAAGGAAACTGTGGTAGAGTCACACAATGGATTATTATACAACAATGAAAATATGAATTAACACTATCTGCAACAATGTGGATGAATCAGACACAGAGTGAAAGAAGATCTGTGCGAGTGTATTTCATATAATTCCTTTTATATGCAGTTCAAAAGCAAGCAAAATTATTCCCAGTATTAGCAAGGAGGACAGTGATTACCTGTGCAGTGGTGACTGGGAGAGGTCAAGTAAGGGGGTTGGGTGGGGGAACAGGTGATGGTCTATCGCTTGATCCGTGTTACATGACTGACAATCAGTTACATATGCCCTTAGAAGGGCACTTTGCCTAAGTATTTTATATTTCAGCTGAGACTTAGCTAAAAAAGACTTTATCTCATGAGTGTAAATGAGAAACCAGCACAAAAGGCTTTAAAAGGTAGCATAAGCACAAAGAAAACAGACAGTTATTATATTCTAGGTCCAATAGCATTGACGCACTGTCATCTGCTGTGAAGTCTGCTCCTCTTCCTGTATCAGGAACAGCAGCCGTGGTGGGTAAGCGTGAATGGCCACCTTAGAGCCAAGCCAACAAATCACGAAGGAACCAGGTGTTAGTAGAGAATCAGCACTTTAGTCTAATGCCGTCACCTGAGATGTCACAGGTGCAATGGGCTCTGTCCTTGTGGACATACAGCTGATGCCTCCTGGGGAGCTTGCAATGGCCCCAAGCTGTACAGAGGTGGCTGGGGCTTAGCCTGATGCTCCTGCAGGCCCCCCCCCCCTCTTTCTTCTCTTCCTCCTCCTGGGAGAGACGGGGGTTAAAGAGGAGGTGCCTGCTTTCTGGGCACGGGGAGATGGATGACCAGAGAATCCTGTGATCAGGGGGGCGGGATCAGCCAGGAATCAGGGATGCAGGGGAACCACCAGGAAAAGACAACTTACTGATCTCTTCCACCAGTTTGAGCATCACGCCGCCCACGTGCAGGTCCCCGGACACCCTCAGTGTGACGTCCCTTTGCTCCTCCGTGGTTGGGTGGTCAACTCGGACCACGAGCTCCCAGGACGCAGCCGCGAAGTCACCGGAGAGCATTGTGGTGCAGGCGGAGTCTGCGGCAGAAGAGGCAGCCCCAGATCAGATGGAAGGAGGAGGGGGATGCGCCAGCCGACCCTGCAGAGCAGGACAGTTTTTGTTTTTGCTTTTCCTTAGAGCCTCTTCTTCAAAAACTCTGCAGGGTTTCTGGTGCCCAGACATTAAATTCAGCATCTTAACTGTAAAGACAAAATGTCTTATAAGGGCAGTAAACCACGGCAATCTTCCACAGATTTTTTTTTAAAAAATCAACTTTCATTGAAGTATAATTTATATACAGTCAAATGCACAGATTTTCATGCATACACATTCACTGCATTTTGTTGTATGAAAATTATCCTTTAAAAAACTTGATTTTAAACAAGAATGCCAGCCAGGTGTGGTGGTGCACGCCTGT